ACCAGACGTCCACACCCATGTACACCGCCACATGTGTGTGTGAGTGGTGGGGTGGGGTGGGGTGAGGTGACGTACCCTATGTGAGTGAGGCCCACATTCAGCCTCCCATGCGGGTTAGCTCACTCAGTGACAGGACACCCACCCTGCGTCACAACACAACACATCACACAGCGAGACATAAGCCAGACAGCCAAGTGTGCATGGTGCGCCAGACAGCGTGGTTGGCAGGTCGCGTGGTTGGTGTAGTGTGGACCAGTCAGTCGGGTGGCAGTCTGCGCTCCTGTGGATGTCATAAACAGGTACATTAGCACGCGACGTCAACACTGGGACGCTGAGAATGTCTGAATACAGCATCGCATATGCACCAAGATAGACGGCCACACAAGCCTTGGTAGTGAGAGAGTGGACGATGGACACAGCACTCTGTGGAAAGGAGCAAAACCGAGCATGCCGGGAAGGCTAGCGTGACGAGCGTGTGCTCATGATCACATACCTGAGTAGATGCTTTGGTCCGAGGTGACGAAATCCTCTCTCGGATGTGGCTATCTGCCTTGCAGTCGCCGCAACGTTAGAGCACACGATCAGCTATGTCGCCGCAACGTTAGAGCACACGTTACATCAGCTATACCAGCGACGGCCTGGTTCAAGCCGCCGATCAAGTTACCTGCCCTAAGCCTTTAAACCTTAAACGCGGCAAGCGCATGCAGGAAGACAGAGGCGCACGTCTCATCCAAGAAACCCTTCCAAAGCCCCTCCGCGTCACCTCTCCCTCCTGCGTGCTGCCAAAGGACAGCGTCCAATCGACACACTCACTTCCACCCACCGGTGTACCCCTTCGCTGAAGAGAAGTTCTGGTAGAGAGACAGAGAGAAGAGGTTTAGCACAGACAAAAAGACACGTAGCCTGCATGAGCGAGAGGGGAGCGTGCATGAACCAGCTCAGACGCATGGCCTGTGCAGTGATGGATGAATGAATGTTTGTCTCACGAGTTATAATTTCGAATAAGTCTATCAAACCAAGTCCACATCCGCGCCAAACGCGCCAATATAGGCGCGGCTGCATTGCGCCGGCATGTGGCACTACTTCCGCCTATAGTTCCGCCTCTACTTCCGCCTATAGGCGCGTCTGGGGCCTACATGGGCATGTCGGACCTATATAGATGGCGTGCTCCGTCTATATCGACGAAATCCCCGCCTATGAAGGCGTGGCCCGCGCCTGCTTCATCGTGTGGATTTCGTTCTCCACCCCACGATCCACTCAGTTTGGCCAATACGGGCCAACGCAATGCCGATCATCCTATGCACGCACTGCGCGTGCATACCTGTTTGTTCCGAAGAGTCAGGAGGACACTTTTCTCATTGCTGAGTTCTCGAATACACTTGATGACTATAGGAAGCACTAAGGGGCTGTTTGTCTCTCTATACACTGATTCCTGTGTGGGTGGGCGGGGGAGTGGGTGGGTGTGGGTGTGGGGATGTGACTGTCGGCGGCAGGGGTACACTGCGTGTTTTCCTGTGTGGTGTCGACGGCCGTCAGACGACAGACATTGCCTGTCAGTTGATCATCCATGTATCGCATTGAGTGAGACAGCATGAGTCAGCCGTTCGGCCAGAAAACACCAGCATGCACCAGGGGGCAGTCGGCGAGCATCGGTGTGCATCCTGCGGTCATCAGGGAGCACTCAAGAGGCGTCAGGGGCCCAGTTTTCTGTCTCCAAAACCCGGTTCTCTGTGTCCAAAACCCAGTTTCTGTACAGCTCTGCGGGTTTTCTGTACGAGCACCCAGTTTTCTGTACGGGGCTGCTGGTTTTCTGCTGGCACACCTGGTTTTCTGTCAGAAAACTCGGCTTTCTGTACGGGGCTGCCGGTTTTCTGTCAGAAAACCCGATTGTCCGTCAGAAAACCCGGTTTTCTGTACAGCACTGCTGGTTTTCTGTCAGAAAACCGGGTTCTGTGTACAGCACTTCTGGTTTTCTGACAGCACTGCTGGTTTTCTGCACGGAAAACCGGTTTTCTGTACAGCGTGTCTGGTTTTCCGGGCGGAAAACGGTTATGGAGCTGTTATGGTGCGCTTGTGATAGCCACTTGGGGGTGGTGCGCCTGCAGTCAGAGAGACATTGGTGTGAGGCGTGCATTGGTGCACCTGTTGGCCCATCCATGGGGAGTCTCTGGCAGCGCCGTGAGGAAGGCCTTTGCATTGGCCTCGAGAGCATTGCAAATGCCGCCTCTTCTTGTCGTTCTCGCCGGCTTGACACTGTCAGCCATGGCTGCAAGACGCACACACACATCAAGGAGAACGGGAGGCTGCATGCACACGTGCATGAGCCGATGTGGTGCTTGCAATGGCGCACATACCGGTCCACCCGTGTCCTTGACGCACCCACTCACAGGAAGAGTGCCCACTCTCGTGGCATCCAGCAGGCTGCTCGGGAGGACGGGGAAAGCAAGCTGCTGAGCGGCTGCCGCTCTCCTGCCAGCAAGGATATACAGCAGGAGCGTCCATCTGTCTCTGGCGATGCCCTTGCGCGGTCTGGTTGACGTGCTGATGGCTGTCGCACTGGCAAGGATACGGATCGGATCGCGTGTGGCGTCGCTGCAGTGGCGAGAGACTGCTGATGCTGGCGCTGCCGCTGCCGCCCCGTCGGGAGGACCGTCCAGAAGTGCGAAGACTGGGGGCTCGGTGGGGGGTTAGCGTCTCATCCTAGCCGAGTTTTTGTAGATCACGCTAAGATTGCATAATTAGCCGGATTCCATCCATCCAATTCGTGCGGATTCGTCGGCTTTGCGTGGACCTTCTGACTTCGTTCGATTTCTTTCAAAGCTGTGTTGGTTTTGTCGGCATCGGTGAGGACCTGCTCGCTGTCTGGCGCCTGGAGGCTCTACTTCGTTCGATTTCTTTCCAAGCTGTGTTGGTTTTGTCGGCATCGGTGAGGACCTGCTCGCTGGCTGGCGCCTGGAGGCTCTCCCCGTCACCACGAACCTGACACCCATACGGTAACACACATGACAGATCCAACCACCACCAAGGCAGGCACGTGAGGCTAAGGCAGCAAGCCAGATCTGAGGTATGAAGCGCCGTCGGTAGCCGTCGGTGACCGAGATGGACCATCTCGTGGTGGACACGTGATGGCGGAGGCCGGAAGGCACCGTCGGCGTGGTGGTAATGAAGGATCTGGCTTGGTCTGGGC